GGACTTCCTAACGGGTCCAGTTTGTGTGTCTCAGATCGTGTTCGAGCCCCATAACATCGATAACGCGTCCCCGGCCACGGTGTCTCGTAACGGGATGGTGTTCATGAGCGAGTCGGTGCTCGGCTGGAGGCCCCTGCTCCAGGCCTGGACCCAGACTCTGCCCCCGCCCCAGAGACAGGAGCTGGAGAAACACTTCCACGGCTGCTTCCAGGTCTGACCGGAGACTGGACACGGACTAACCCTCAGTGCACTGCCAGAATTTAAGATATAAACCGACTCTAGTGAACGTTCTGTCACTAACACCGACTCTAGTGAACGTTCTGTCACTAACACCGACTCTAGTGAACGTTCTGTCACTGACACGACTCTAGTGAACGTTCTGTCACCGACACGACTCTAGTGAACGTTCTGTCACTAACACGACTCTAGTGAACGTTCTGTCACTAACACGACTCTAGTGAACGTTCTGTCACTAACACCGACTCTGGTGAACGTTCTGTCACTAACACGACTCTAGTGAACGTTCTGTCACTAACACGACTCTAGTGAACGTTCTGTCACTAACACCGACTCTGGTGAACGTTCTGTCACTAACACCGACTCTAGTGAACGTTCTGTCACTAACACCGACTCTAGTGAACGTTCTGTCACTAACACCGACTCTGGTGAACGTTCTGTCACTAACACGACTCTAGTGAACGTTCTGTCACTAACACCGACTCTAGTGAACGCGACTCTAGTGAACGTTCTGTCACTAACACGACTCTAGTGAACGTTCTGTCACTAACACCGACTCTAGTGAACGTTCTGTCACTAACACCGACTCTAGTGAACGTTCTGTCACTAACACCGACTCTAGTGAACGTTCTGTCACTAACACCGACTCTAGTGAACGTTCTGTCACTAACACCGACTCTAGTGAACGTTCTGTCACTAACACGACTCTAGTGAACGTTCTGTCACTAACACCGACTCTAGTGAACGTTCTGTCACTAACACCGACTCTAGTGAACGTTCTGTCACTAACACCGACTCTAGTGAACGTTCTGTCACTAACACGACTCTAGTGAACGTTCTGTCACTAACACGACTCTAGTGAACGTTCTGTCACTAACACGACTCTAGTGAACACGACTCTAGTGAACGTTCTGTCACTAACACCGACTCTGGTGAATGTTCTGTCACTAACACCGACTCTAGTGAACGTTCTGCCTCTGGTTCCAGGACGTTCTGGACTTCGTGTGGACCGCGGTCAGTCCAAAGATGCAGGTGCTGGAGTGTATGTACATCCAGCAGACCATCACCCTGCTGCAGGTGCGACAGGACCGCCCCTGTCAGGGGTTTAGAGCACAGCCCTGTCCCTCCTCTGCACCTGTCCATGTTCACCGTGTTCCTCCTGTGTTCTTCAGGGTTTGTTGATGTCGGTGGAGGAGAAGCAGGTCGGTGCGGATCACGTGAGTCGTCTGTTCTCATTCGCCCTCATGTGGGCACTGGGGGCACTGCTGGAGCTGGACGACAGAGCCAAGATGGAGGACTTCCTCAAGGTCTGACACAGCTTCATCTGACACATCTTCATCTGACACAGCTTCATCTGACACATCTTCATCTGACACATGTTGACACATCTTCATCTGACACATGTTCATCTGACACATGTTCATCTGACACATGTTCATCTGACACATGTTCATCTGACACATCTTCATCTGACACATCTTCATCTCACACATCTTCATCTGACACATCTTCATCTGACACATGTTCATCTGACACACATGTTCATCTGACACATGTCATCTGACACATGTTCATCTGACACATCTTCATCTGACACATCTCTGACATCTTGACACATCTCACACATCTTCATCTCACACATGTTCATCTGACACATTCTCTGACACATTTCATCTGACACATCTTCATCTCACACATCTCTTCATCTGACACATCTTCATCTGATCACACACATCTTCATCTGACACATCATCTGACACACATGTCTGACACATGTTCATCTGACATCATGACACATGTTCATCTGACACATGTTCATGACACATCTTCATCTGACACATGTTCATCTCACACATCTTCATCTCACACATCTTCATCTGACACATCTTCATCTCACACATCTTCATCTCACACATCTTCATCTGACACATCATCATCTGACACATCTTCATCTGACACATGACACATGTTCATCTGACACATCTTCATCTCACACATCTTCATCTGACACATCTTCATCTGACACATGTTCATCTGACACATGTTGACACATCATCTGACATTCATCACACATCATCTCATGTCTCACATCTGACACATCATGTTCATCTGACACATCTTCATCTGACACATCTTCATCTCACACATCTTCATCTGACACATCTTCATCTCACACATCTTCATCTCACACATGTTCATCTGACACATGTTCATCTGACACATCTTCATCTCACACATCTTCATCTGACACATGTTCATCTGACACATCTCACACATCTTCATCTCATCTGACACATCTTCATCTCACACATCTTCATCTGACACATGTTCATCTGACACATGTTCATCTGACACATCTTCATCTCACACATCTTCATCTGACACATCTTCATCTGACACATGTTCATCTGACACATGTTCATCTGACACATCTTCATCTGACACATCTTCATCTCACACATGTTCATCTCACACATGTTCATCTGACACATGTTCATCTGTTCATCTGACACATCTTCATCTGACACATGTTCATCTGTTCATCTGACACATCTTCATCTGACACATCTTCATCTGACACATCTTCATCTGACACATGTTCATCTGACACATGTTCATCTGACACATGTTCATCTGACACATGTTCATCTGACACATGTTCATCTGACACATGTTCATCTGACACATGTTCATCTGACACATCTTCATCTGACACATGTTCATCTGACACACATCTTCATCTGACACATGTTCATCTGACACATCTTCATCTGACACATCTTCATCTGACACATCTTCATCTGACACATGTTCATCTCACACATGTTCATCTCACACATCTTCATCTGACACATCTTCATCTGACACATCATTCATTTCATCTGACACATCTTCATCTGACACATGTTCATCTGACACATCTTCATCTGACACATCTTCATCTGACACATCTTCATCTGACACATCTTCATCTGACACATGTTCATCTGACTTTGTTTTTTCCAGAGTCACAGTTCTGCTCTGGACCTGCCCAAGACCGAACCGGACCAGAACATCTTCGAGTTTACGGTGAATCAGCTCGGACAATGGGAGCACTGGGCCAATAAGGTGAGTCAGGTGCCCTCCCCGTGTGTGTCAGGTGCCCTCCTGGTGTGTCATATGCCCTCCTCTGTGTGTGTCAGGTGCCCTCCTGTGTGTCGTGTGTGTCAGGTGCCCTCCCTGTGTGTGTCAGGTGCCCTCCTCGTGTTGTCAGGTTGCCCTCCTCGTGTGTGTGTGGGTGCCTCCCTGTGTGTGTCAGGTGCCCTCCCGTGTGTGTCAGTGCCCCCTCCCTGGTGTGTCAGGTGCCCTCCCGTGTGTGTCAGGTGTGTCAGGGTGCCCCTCCCGTGTGTGTCAGGTGCCCTCCCTCGTGGTGTGTCAGGTGCCTCCCGTGTGTGTGTCAGGTGCCCTCCTCGTGTGTGTCAGGTGCCCTCCCCTGTGTGTGTCAGGTGCCTCCTCGTGTGTGTCAGGTGCCTCCTCGTGTGTGTCAGGTGCCCTCCTGTGTGTGTCAGGTGCCTCCTCGTGTGTGTCAGGTGCCCTCCCCGTGTGTGTCAGGTGCCCTCCCCGTGTGTGTCAGGTGCCCTCCCTGTGTGTGTCAGGTGCCCTCCTCGTGTGTGTCAGGTGCCCTCCTCATGTGTGTCAGGTGCCCTCCTCGTGTGTCAGGTGCCCTCCCCGTGTGTGTCTGTGCTCCTCAGGTGTCAGGTGCCCTCTCGTGAGTCAGGTGCCCTCCTCGTGTGTGTCAGGTGCCCCTCCCTGTGTGTGTCAGGTGCCCTCCCTGTGTGTGTCAGGTGCCCTCCCTGTGTGTGTCAGGTGCCCTCCTCGTGTGTGTCAGGTGCCCTCGTGTCAGGTGTCAGGTGCCCTCCTCGTGTGTGTCAGGTGCCCTCTGTGGTGTGCCTCCCTGTGTGTGTCAGGTGCGCCTCCTCAGGTGTGTGTGTCAGTGCCCTCCCTGTGTCGTAGGTGCCCTCCCTCCCCGTGTGTTCAGGTGCCCTCCTGTGTGTCAGGTGCCCTCCTCGTGTGTCAGGTGCCCTCCTCTCAGTGTCCCTCCTCGTGTGTGTCAGGTGCCTCCTCGTGTGTCAGGTGCTCTCCTCGTGTGTCAGGTGCTCCCCGTGTGTGTCAGTGCCCTCCCTGTGTGTCAGGTGCCTCCGTGTGTGTCAGGTGCCTCCTCGTGTGTGTCAGGTGTTCAGTGTGTCCCTCGTGTGTGTCAGGTGCCTCCCTCGTGTGTGTCATGTGTGTCAGTGCCCCTCGTGTGCCAGGTGCCTCCTCGGTGTCAGGTGCCTCCTCGTGTGTGTCAGGTGCCTCCTCGTGTTCAGTGTCCTCCTCTGTGTGTCAGGTGCCTCCCTGTGTGTAGTGCCTCTCGTGTGTCAGGTGCCCTCCCCATGTGTGTCAGGTGCCTCCCCGTGTGTGTCAGGTGCCCTCTCCCCGTGTGTCAGGTGCCCCTCCTCGTGTGTGTCAGGTGCCCTCTCCCCGTGTGTCAGGTGCCCTCCTCGTGTGTGTCAGGTGCCTCCCGTGTGTGTCAGGTGCTCCCCGTGTGTGTCAGGTGCCTCCTCGTGTGTGTCAGGTGCCTCCTCGTGTGTGTCAGGTGCCTCCTCGTGTGTGTCAGGTGCCCTCCTCGTGTGTCAGGTGCCTCCTCGTGTGTTAGGTGCCTCCCGTGTGTGTTTAGGTCCCGGACTACGTTTATCCCAGAGACCAGACCCCGGACTTGGGCTCGATCCTGGTCCCGAACGTGGACAGCGTCAGGACGGACTTCCTGCTCCGGATCGTCTCCAAACAGAAGAAGGCGGCGCTGCTGATCGGAGAACAGGGAACCGCCAAGACCATCATGATCCAGGTGAGTCTGGGACAGGCCGGGTTAGACCTGGTTTAGTCCTGGTTTAGTCCTGGTTCAGTCCTGGTTTAGTCCTGGTTTAGTCCTGGTTTAGTCTCTGGTTTAGTCTCTGGTTTAGTCCTGGTTCAGTCCTGGTTTAGTCCTGGTTTAGTCCTGGTTTCAGTCCTGGTTTCAGCCTGTTTAGTTTTAGTCCTGGTTCAGTTTCCTGGTTCAGTCCTGGTTTAGTCCTGGTTTAGTCCTGGTTCAGTCCTGGTTCAGTCCTGGTTCAGTCTGGTTCTGTTCTGGTTCAGTCCTGTTTAGTCCTGGTTCAGTCCTGGTTCAGTCCTGGTTCAGTCCTGGTTTAGTCCTGGTTCAGTCCTGGTTTGTCCTGGTTCAGTCCTGGTTCAGTCCTGGTTCTGGTTCAGTCTGGTTCAGTCCTGGTTCAGTCCTGTCAGTCCTGGTGGTTCAGTCCTGGTTCAGTCCTGGTTCAGTCCTGGTTCAGTCCTGGTTTAGTCCTGGTTCAGTCCTGGTTCCTGGTTTAGTCCTGGTTTAGTCCTGGTTCAGTCCTGGTTCAGTCCTGGTTCAGTTCCTGGTTCAGTTCCTGGTTCAGTCCTGGTTTAGTCCTGTTCAGTCCTGGTTCAGTCCTGGTTCAGTCCTCAGTCCTGGTTCAGTCCTGGTTTCAGTCCTGGTTCAGTCCTGGTTCAGTCCTGGTTCAGTCCTGGTTCAGTCCTGGTCTGGTTCAGTCCTGGTTCAGTCCTGGTTCAGTCTGGTTCATTCTGGTCTCTGGTTCAGTCCTGGTTCTGTTCAGTCTGGTTCAGTCCTGGTTCAGTCTGGTCAGTCTGGTTCAGTCCTGGTTCAGTCCTGGTTCAGTCCTGGTTCAGTCCTGGTTCAGTCCTGGTTCAGTCCTGGTTCAGTTCTGTCTCTGGTTCAGGGTTACCTGGGGAAAATGGCGTGTGACTCTCACCTGTGGAAGTCGTTGAGTTTCTCGTCGGCGACTCTTCCCGTCATGTTCCAACGCTCCGTGGAGAGTTACATCGACAAACGCGTGGGCGCCACCTACGGGCCGGCGGCGGGACGCAGCATGAGCCTGTTCATCGACGACATCAACATGCCCGCCATCAACGAGTGGGGCGACCAGGTGCACCTCACAGCCGCAGGATCCCGGGCTCTAAAGCACCGCCACAGGGTCCCACAGCCACAGGGTCCCACACTCACCCCACAACCACAGGGTCCCACAGCCACAGGGTCCCACACCCACCACCACAGGGTCCCACACTCACCCCACAACCACAGGGTCCCACACCCACCCCACAGGGTCCCACCCCACAGGGTCCCACACTCACCCCACAACCACAGGGTCCCACAGCCACAGGGTCCCACACCCACAACCACAGGGTCCCACACTCACCCCACCACCACAGGGTCCCACACTCACCACCACAGGGTCCCACACTCACCCCACAGGGTCCACACCACACCCACAGGGTCCCACACCCACCCCACAGGGTCCCACAGGGTCCACCACAGGGTCACCCCACAACCACAGGGTCCCACACACCCACACTCACCCCACAGGGTCCCACACTCACCTCACAGGGTCCCACACCCACAGCCACAGGGTCCCACAGCCACAGGGTCCCACACTCACCCCACAACCACAGGGTCCCACACTCACCCCACAACCACAGGGTCCCACACTCACCCCACAGGAACAGAACAGAGATTCTGGGACATGACGTCTCAGTGTCATTTACATTTGAACAGACAATAGAAACTAGTGTCACATGGGCCTTTAAACAGTAGATTTGTTTATTTATTTATTATGTCATCTCATATTGTTTTTGTCTCCGCCCCCTCCTGTTGACTCCGCCCCCTCCTGTTGGCTCCGCCCCCTCCTCTCAGATCACCAATGAGATCGTGCGTCAGCTGATGGAGCAGGGGGGGTTCTACAGCCTGGAGCGTCCAGGAGACTTCATCCATGTGGTGGACGTCCAGGTCTGTGTGAAACTGTGTGAAACTGTGTGAAACTGTGTGAAACTGTGTGAAACTGTGGGAAACTGTGTGAAACTGTGTGAAACTGTGGGATCTTTGCGCCGCGTGGAGCGTCTGGATATTTTAACATTTCTAAAAGTTTCTGTTGTGAAAATAAAAATAGAAATAGAAAAGAATCCTACAAAATCCAAAGTTTGTGAAAGTGGCGTGTCCTGTCAGAACACGGGAAGGTTCAATTCCCAAAATGCATTTCTTCTGTGGGAGGAGTCTGCAGTACCTGGAGCGACCACTAGAGGCAGAGGGGGAGGGGCTTATCCAGGTTTATTATAGGCGAGTTTCATTGTTGACAAAAGCGTGCGTTGCATGATGGGAATTATTTTGGTCGGCGGCAAGAAACACTAATTGAACATGACAGACGGAGCGAGAAAACACGTAAAGGGTATTGATCCCGGTTATTTCTCCACTCTAACGGCAGACGACCCAAGAACATTTGACCACAAATTGGTCATAAACATCGACGGACGACAAATCACCCTTTTCAACCCCGACAGAGTCTGGACCAAACCAAACTTCTGGTCAGAATCTCCAACTACCTGGACAAATATTCACTTGGGCGACATCCACAATGACTTGGTGAAACTCCTGGGCCATTCACAGCAGAAAAGATGAAAACCTCCAAGAGTCTGGATGTGTTGTTGAACTTGTTGAGTCCACGGTTTGTTAGGATCTTCTACGTTTGCTCTGCGGATGTTTGAAAGTCGTTTAATTCACCGTTAGTGGAATACGAGAAAGACATTTTCCTTCTTCCGTGTTTCTATTTGTGCGTCTGATAATGCAGCAGGAGTTTACCATTATCGGGGATAAATACGTGAGGTTACACACTGTGTTTGACGCGACCGTGTTTCTGCCTCCGACCAGAATATTTCCCAGCAGCAACGCGGGTTTTTAATAACAATGACGTCAGCTCAAACTCGCCTATAAACCTGTGATAAATGTGAGTGGGGCACAGATTTGTACAGGGTTAACACATTCTTTATCATGTTCTTCTGGATTCTTTTTGTTGTTCTGGATTTTTCTGGTTCTTCTGGGCTTCTGATGGGTTTGTTGTCTTGTTTCTCACCCTCCTGCCCTTGTCCCTCGTGCTCTCAGCTGGTGGGGGCCATGATCCACCCGGGCGGAGGCAGAAACGACATCCCGCAGCGTCTGAAGAGGCAGTTCTGCATCTTTAACTGCCCCCTCCCGTCCAACGCCTCCATCGACCGCATCTTCAGCGCCCTGGCTCAGGGACACTTCTGCCCGGAGAGGGGCTTCGGTCCCGGGGTGTGTGCGCTGGCAGCTGCCCTCGTGCCCACCACCAGAAGAGTGTGGCAGGCCGTCAAAGCCAAGGTACAAGTCTCCGCCCCCACGTGGGTTTAAAGTCAGATTCCGCTCACTGACCACGTTTACATGAGGGTTTTAATAGTTCTGAATTAAATAGTTCTGAAGTAAAATATTTTCCTTGGAGTTTACATGGAAAAAAATCTGAATTCAGGTTTACGTGGAAAATTTGTTAAATGTTTTTTATTTCCTGTGTGAGCGTCTGGGGGGAGGTTCTGATTGGACAGAGACGCCAACGGATTTACGTCTTTGGGAAGAAAACACAAACTTCAGCTGCTCCCGGCTTTTCTGTTTGTCGTTCCTCCACAGACACAAACACCGTCCAGACTTTTCCCGCAGTCTAAACCAGAACTAAACCAGGACTAAACCAGGTCTAAAAACAGGACTAAACCAGGTCTAAAAACAGGACTAAACCAGGACTCTGTAAGTTCTAAAACGGGACTAAACCAGCTGAGGAGGAGAAGGGAAGAGCGTTGGAGAAGGAGAAAGAAGACAAAAGCTCAGCCCACTCCCGCATCCCTCTCACAAATCCAAAGAGATGTGGATCAAAGTCCTGAGACACAACTGGACCAGGACCAGGACCAGAACCAGGACCAGAACCAGGACCAGGACCAGGACCAGGACCAGGACCAGGACCAGAAGAACAACACGAGGAGCCTGAAGCACCAGCAGCATTTTAACAACAACAAACCACAAACAGAATCCACCAAACAAACTCACTCACATTTAAAATCACAAACAAACACTTACTTTTCAATTAAGATTAATTCAGAATCATCGTTTTCATTAAGAATTAAGTGTTTTAAAGAGAAAATTATTTTTATTCAGAATTAAATCTCTCATGTGAACGTGGCAGATGTTTAGTTCTTGTACGAGGTCGAGTCTAGTTTTACTCACAGACTGTAGAAGTGCAACATCTCCAAACGAAGCTCATGGAGGCCAGCAGTTCTCCCAGTTTCACATTTGGCTCTGGCCTGACTGTTAAAAAAAAGTTCCATAATGTTGCTTTACTCTGTTTTCATCCAGATGCTGCCGTCTCCAGCCAAGTTCCACTACATCTTCAACCTGAGAGACCTGAGCCGAATCTGGCAGGTACTAAACCAGAACTAAACCAGGTCTAAACCAGGACTAAACCAGGACTGAACCAGGACTGAACCAGGACTAAACCAGGTCTAAACCAGGACTAAACCAGGAACCAGGACTAAACCAGGACTAAACCAGGACTAAACCAGGACTAAACAAACCAGGTCTAAACCAGGTCTAAACCAGGTCTCTAAACCAGGACTAAACCAGGACTAAACCAGGACTAAACCAGGTCTAAACCAGGTCTAAAACCAGGACTAAACCAGGTCTAAACCAGGTCTAAACCAGGACTAAACCAGGTAAACCAGGTCTACACCAGGACTAAACCAGGACTAAACCAGGACTAAACCAGGACTAAACCAGGTCTAAACCAGGACTAAACCAGGACTAAACCAGGTCTAAACCAGGTACTAAACCAGGACTAAACCAGGTCTAAACTAAACCAGGACTAAACCAGGACTAAACCAGGTCTAAACCAGGTCTAAACCAGGACTAAACCAGGACTAAACCAGGACTAAACCAGGTCTAAACCAGGTCTAAACCAGGTCTGGTTGTGTTCAGGGGATGCTGAGTGTTCAGTCTGAGGTGTGCGTGAACGAGGAGCTGCTCTCCGCTCTTTTCCATCACGAAGTCTCCAGAGTCGTCGCCGACAGATTCACCGACCAATCAGACACAGACGCCTTCAGTGACATCATCAGCAAGGTCAGAGTCTGAACCCGCAACCTCCTGGTGAGAGGGAAGAGACGGGCTAACCACTCTGCCACCGGAGCACAGGGAGCACATGCACACGCCACACAGAGACATCGAGTCAAACGCAAACGCTCCAACTACAGGCGTCTGAACGCTACGGCAGCCGAGAGGAGCCACAACAAACGCAAACGCCGCAACAAATACAAATGCCACAACGCAACAAAAAGCCACAACACAACAAAAAGCCACAACAAACCAAAAAAAGCCACAACCGGAATGACCGCGGGACTCTATTTACTCACATTAAAAAGCCACAACACATTAAAAAGCCACAACACATTAAAAAGCCACAAACACCAAAAAAAACACAAAAAAGCCACAACACATTAAAAAAGCCACAACAAACCAAAAAAGCCACAACACATTAAAAAGCCACAACACCAAAAAAGCCAACAACAAACAAAAAAGCACAAACAAAAACACCACAAAAAGCCACAACACATTAAAAGGTCACAACACATTAAAAAGCCACAACAGAAGTGACAGCTGGACTCTATTTTCTGACGGACGATCAAGCGGCAAGTGAAGAAGAAGAACTACAACGTGAAACAAATAATGATAAAACAATAAATGACTTTTACTTACGTTTCCAACTTCTCCGTTCCTTTACTTTTCACGTTATCGTTCTTCTTCACTTGCTGCTTGATCGGTCCGTCGGAAAATAGAGTCCCGCGGTCACTTCCGTTGTGGCTTTTTAATGTGTTGTGGCTTTTTAATGTGTTGTGGCTTTTTTGTTTGTTGTGGCTTTCTTGTTTGTTGTGGCTTTTTTGGTGTGTTGTGGCATTTGCGTTTGTGTTGTGGCTTTTTAATGTGTTGTGACTTTTTAATGTGAGTAAATCGAGTCCCGCGGTCATTCCCGTTGTGGCTTTTTTTGGTTTGTTGTGGCTTTTTGTTGTGTTGTGACCCTCTCAGTTTCCGTAGAACGCGGCTTCACCCTCGTCTCTGAGCGAGTTGATCTTTTCTTCTTTGGTTCTTTCCGCAGATCACCGCTGAGGATCATGGGAAGGCCCTCACTGAGCACGCTCACTGGAACTGCACCTTTGTGGACTTCCTGCGCGACGCTGCCGAGGCGACGGGAGACGAACCCGAGGAGGCGGAGCTAGAGGCGCCTAAAGTCAGAACCAGGACTAAACCAGGACTGAACCAGGACTAGACCAGGACTAAACCAGGACTAAACCAGGACTAAACCAGGACTGAACCAGGATTGAACCAGGACTAAACCAGGACTGAACCAGGACTAGACCAGGACTAAACCAGGACTGAACCAGGACTAGACCAGGACTAAACCAGGACTGAACCAGGACTGAACCAGGACTGAACCAGGACTAAACCAGGACTGAACCAGGACTAGACCAGGACTAAACCAGGACTGAACCAGGACTGAACCAGGACTGAACCAGGACTGAACCAGACTGAAACCAGGACTAGACCAGGACTAAACCAGGACTGAACCAGGACTGAACCAGGACTAAACCAGGACTAAACCAGGACTGAACCAGGACTGAACCAGGACTGAACAAGGACTAAACCAAGACTGAACCAGGACTAGACCAGGACTAAACCAGGACTGAACCAGGACTGAACCAGGACTAAACCAGGACTGAACCAGGACTGAACCAGGACTAGACCAGGTCTGAGTTAAATGTGTGTGTTTGCAGTTGTATGAGCCGGTTCCGTCTCTGGACGTGTTGTCGGAGCGTCTGTCGTTTTTCCAGCTTCAGTACAACGAGGCGGTGAGGGGCGGGGCCATGGACCTCGTCTTCTTTCAGGTAAAATCAGATCTGAAACCTCAAGGACACAGAAAGAACATGCAAATCCACACAAACACGGACGTCAGAGCAGCAGCAGGTGCATCAGTCACTGATCCTGTGCAGCAGATCCACATTTGCTGGAGTGTGATGCTAACTGAAGGCACTGCTCTGTCTGGACTGATCACAGGAAAATGCAAAAACTGATCTCCACGTGACTCTCCCTCTGTGTGTCTCTGTGTCTCTGTGTCTGTGTCTGTGTCTGTGTCTGTGTCTGTGTCTCTGTGTGTCTGTGTCTCTGTGTCTGTGTCTCTGTGTGTCTGTGTCTGTCTGTGTCTGTGTGTCTGTGTGTCTGTGTCTGTGTGTCTGTGTCTCTGTCTGTCTCTGTGTCTGTGTCTCTGTGTGTCTGTGTCTGTGTGTCTGTGTCTCTGTGTCTGTGTCTCTGTGTCTGTGTCTCTGTGTCTGTGTCTGTGTCTCTGTGTCTGTGTCTCTGTGTCTGTGTCTCTGTGTCTCTGTGTCTGTGTCTCTGTGTCTGTGTTCTCTGTGTCTGTGTCTGTGTCTCTGTGTCTGTGTCTCTGTGTCTGTGTCTCTGTGTCTGTGTCTCTGTCTGTGTCTGTGTCTGTGTCTCTGTGTGTGTCTCTGTGTCTGTGTCTCTGTGTCTCTGTGTGTCTGTGTCTCTGTGTCTGTGTCTGTGTCCTGTGTCTGTCTGTGTCTGTGTCTCTGTGTGTCTGTGTCTCTGTGTCTCTGTGTCTGTGTCTGTGTCTGTGTCTGTGTCTGTGTCTGTCTGTGTCTGTGTTCTCTGTGTGTCTGTGTCTGTGTCTCTGGTGTCTGTGTCTCTGTGTCTGTGTGTGTCTGTGTCTGTGTCTCTGTGTCTGTGTCTGTGTCTCTCTGTGTCTGTGTCTCTGTCTCTGTGTCTGTGTCTCTGTGTGTCTGTGTCTGTGTCTCTGTGTCTGTGTCTCTGTGTCTGTGTGTCTGTGTCTGTGTCTGTGTCTGTCTCTGTGTCTCTGTGTCTCTGTGTCTCTGTGTCTGTGTCTGTGTCTGTGTGTCTGTGTCTGTGTCTGTGTCTCTGTGTCTGTGTCTCTGTGTCTGTGTCTCTGTGTCTGTGTCTGTGTCTGTGTCTCTTGGCAGGACGCCATGGTTCACCTGATGCGTGTGTCTCGGGTTCTTCGTACTCCTCGGGGGAACGCTCTGCTCGTGGGGGTCGGGGGGTCGGGGAAACAGAGTCTGACCCGACTCGCCTCCTTCATCGCCGGACACCAGACCTTCCAGATCACCCTGACCAGGTACGACCCTGGACCAGACACACACACACATGCACACACACATATACACACACATACACACACATCAGGTACGAGTAGAAGCTCCAGTTTAACCTCCTCTTCTGTGGAGCCAGAGCCAGACTCTGTGTGTGTGACACAGTTGGGACTCTGTGTGTGTGACGCAGTTGGGACTCTGTGTGTGTGACGCAGTTGGACTCTGTGTGTGTGACGCAGTTGGGACTCTGTGTGTGTGACACAGTTGGGACTCTGTGTGTGTGACACAGTTGGGACTCTGTGTGTGTGACGCAGTTGGACTCTGTGTGTGTGACGCAGTTGGGACTCTGTGTGTGTGACGCAGTTGGGACTCTGTGTGTGTGACACAGTTCGGGACTCTGTGTGTGTGACACAGTTGGGACTCTGTGTGTGTGACACAGTTGGGACTCTGTGTGTGTGACACAGTTGAGACTCTGTGTGTTTCTCTATGGATTTACCTGGTCAAATATGGACCAGGAAATGGACTGGAAATGTGAACGACCTCGCAAAAAAACGAACAAAAAAAAAAAGGATTTCACAAAAAAATCTGAATTGAGTGTGAAGCTCTGCAGTTTGAACGGAGAGTCTGATACTGGAGCAGAGGGGCAAAAAAACAGATTTGTGTCACTTCAGGTGCAAACTGGTCCAGGCTCAGGTCTAGACACGATCACAGGGGGGACACGGGTACAGGAGGGGAGGGCATCTGACACACTGGTACAGTTCCTCTCTCTCTGTGCTCAGGTCGTACGGCTGCTCAAACCTCCTGGACGACCTGAGGTTTCTGTACAGACTGAGCGGACACCAGGGCCGAGGAGTCACCTTCCTCTTCACCGACAACGACATCAAGGACGAAGCTTTTCTCGGTCAGAACCTCACATCAGTCTGGGCCTGGTCTCTGGTCTCTGGTCTCTGGTCTGGTCTCAGTCCGGTCTCAGTCCGGTCTCTGGTCTGGTCTCAGTCTGGTCTCAGTCCGGTCTGAGTCTGGTCTCTGGTCTGGTCTCTGGTCTGGTCTCAGTCCGGTCTCTGGTCCAGTCTGAGTCTGGTCTCTGGTCTCTGGTCCGGTCTCTGGTCCGGTCTGAGTCCGGTCTCTGGTCTCTGGTCTCTGGTCTCTTGTCTCAGTCCGGTCTGAGTCCGGTCTCTGGTCTCCGGTCTCTGGTCTTTGGTCTCTGGTCTGGTCTCAGTCTGGTCTCTGGTCTCTGGTCTGAGTCTGGTCTCTGGTCTCAGTCCGGTCTGAGTCTGGTCTCTGGTCTCTGGTCCGGTCTGAGTCTGGTCTCTGGTCCGGTCTGAGTCTGGTCTGAGTCTGGTCTTTGGTCTTGTAGAGTACCTGAACACGGTGTTGGCGAGTGGGGAGGTTCCGGATCTGTTTTCTCGGGACGAACTCGATGACATCACTCAGGACCTGACCTCCGACCTGAAGAGACACGCCCCCAAACGACCTCCGACCCCCGAGAACCTCTACGCCCACTTCCTGTCCCGAGTCCGAGCAAATCTGCACCTGGTCCTGAGTTTCTCCCCGATCGGAGACAAGTTCAGGTCCAGAGCCCTGAAGGTGAACCAGGACTAAACCAGGACTAAACCAGGACTAAACCAGGACTAAACCAGGACTAAACCAGGACTAAACCAGGACTGAACCAGGACTCTAAACCAGGACTAAACCAGGACTAAACCAGGACTAAACCAGGACTAAAACCAGGACTGAACCAGGACTGAACCAGGACTAAACCAGGACTAAACCAGGACTGAACCAGGACTAAACCAGGACTAAACCAGGACTAAACCAGGACTAAACCAGGACTACAGTAGTATGAATCCAGGTCTTGAGCAGGTCTAATCCTGGTCCGGTTCAGTTCCCAGGTCTGATCTCTGGTTGTACCGTGGACTGGTTCCATCGTTGGCCCAAAGAGGCTCTGGTGGCCGTGTCCCGTCACTTCCTGTCTGAATATTCTGAGCTGCGCTGCCCCCCGCAGGTCAAAGAGAGCGTCGTCCTGTCCATGGGAATCTTCCAGGTACTCGACCAGGACTAAACCAGGACTAAACCAGGACTCAAGGAGGTACTCGACCAGAACTAAACCAGAACTTAACTAGAAAAGCAGTCAGAGAGCGCAGACCTCCGCCAAGGACCACCCCCATTTTTTATATAGATTGTGATAAAATCCGTCTTCTGGATCAGATCTGGATCAGCCTTTGGAATATGAAAGAGGATCCACCTGTCCATCCCTGAGTCACATGTCCATGGGGTTTGATCAATAATTAACACAGATATTGAGAAACAAAATGTTTGGCCCCATTTACCACAATGTGAACTAAAATTTCAAAGTGATTCAGAATCCAGGATTTCTTCCGGATCAAACCCAAAATGAAATCAGTTCTTCCTTTTCACATTTCCAACAAATCCTGAAAATTTCATCCAAATCGGTCCATAACTTTTTGAGTTATGTTGCTAACAGACAAACAACAAACAAACAAACAAACAAACAAACAAACAGACAAACAAACAGACAAACAAAAACAAACAGACAAACAAACAGACAAACAAACAAACAACAAACAAACAGACAAACAAACAGACAAACAGACAAACAGACAAACAAACAAACAGACAAACAGACAAACAAACAGACAAACAAACAGACAACAACACAACACAAACAGACAAACAAACAAACAAACAGACAAACAAACAAACAGACAAACAAACAAACAAACAGACAAACAAACAGACAAACAAACACAAACAAACAGACAAACAGACAAACAAACAAACAAACAAACAGACAAACAGACAAACAGACAAACAAACAGACAGACAAACAAACAGACAAACACAAACAACAGACACAACAAACAAACACAACAAACAAACAACAGACAAACAAACAAACAAACAAACAAACAGACAAACAAACAAACAAACAGACAAACAAACAGAAAACAAACAAACAAACAGACAAACAAACAAACAGACAAACAAACAGACAAACAAACAGACAAACAAACAGACAACAAACAAGACAAACAAACAGACAAACAAACAGACAAACAAACAGACAAACAGACAAACAGACAAACAGACAAACAAACAGACAAACAGACAAACAAAAACAAACAAACAGACAAACAACAAACAAACAAACAGACAAACAAACAAAACAAAAACAGACAAACAAACAGACACAACAAACAGACAAACAAACAGACAAACAAACACAAACAAACAAACAAACAAACAAACAAACAAACAGACAAACAAGACAAACAAACAAACAGACAAACAAACAGACAAACAAACAAACAGACAAACAGACAAACAAACAGACAAACAAACAGACAAACAAACAGACAAACAAACAGACAAACAAACAGACAAACAAACAGACAAACAAACAAACAAACAAACAAACAAAACAAACAGACAAACAAACAAACAACGACAAACAAACAGACAAACAAACAAAAACAGAAAAACAAACAACAAACAAACAAACAAACAGACAAACAGACAAACAGACAAACAAACAAACAGACAAACAAACAAACAAACAACAAACACAACACAACAACAAACAAACAAACAAACAAACAGACAAACAAACAGACAAACAAACAGACAAACAAACAACAAACAACAGACAAACAAACAGACAAACAAACAGACACAACAAACAAACAAACAGAAAACAACAAACAAACAAACAAACAGACAAACAAACAAACAGACAAACAAACAGACAAACAGACAAACGGCAAAAAACATAACCTCCTTGGCGGAGGACTAACCAGGACTAAACCAGGACTAAACCAGGACTAAACCAGGACTAAACATCGCCCTCTTGTGGTGTCACTTGTGGTTAAACATGGAGAGTTTGGGTAAAGTTTTCTTCTTCTTCTGTGTTTGTGTTTGTTTGTTAAAGGGACAGTACAGATTAAAATAAAAATAAAGTAAGAGACAAACATGATCCGATACTCACATCGATACTGGAGCTTTTGATTCGGTTCGATTCAGTTCGATATATTTGAGATGGACTGGAGACGAGCGGGAGGGCATCTGACTCAGCGTCTCGTCGTGTCTTTCAGGACGTGGTGGCCGAGCGCTGTGGTCAGTACTTTGAGCGTTTCCGGCGTCAGATCTTCGTCACACCGCGCTCCTTCCTCTCCTTCATCAACAGCTACAAACTCATCTACAGCGAGAAGATCCTCCTCCTGAAGACGCTGAGCCAGCGCATGCACACAGGTCTTCCTCTGCTCCTCTGCTCCTCCTCTGCTCCTCCTCTGCTCCTCTCCTCCTCCCTCTCCTCCTCTGCTCCTCTCCTCCTCCTCCTCCTCCTCTGCTCCTCTGCTCCTCTCCTCCCTCTCCTCTCTCTGCTCCTCTCTCCTCTCCTCCTCTCCTCCGCTCCTCCTCCTCTGCTCCTCCCCTCATCCTCTGCCTCCTCTCCTCTCTGCTCCTCTGCTCCTCTGCTCCTCCTCCTCCTCTCTCCTCCTCTGCTCCTCCTCTCCTCTCTCCTCCTCTGCTCCTCTCCTCCTCTCCTCCTCCTCTGCTCCTCTGCTCCTCTGCTCCTCCTCTCCTCCTCTGCCCTCTGCTCCTCTCCTCCTCCCCTCATCCTCTGCTCCTCCTCTCCTCCTCTGCTCCTCCTCTCCTCCTCTCCTCCTCTGCTCCTCCTCTCATCCTCTCCTCCTCTGCTCCTCCTCTCATCCTCTCCTCCTCCTCTGCTCCTCCTCCTCCTCTCCTCCTCTGCTCCTCTCTCTCCTCCTCTCTCCTCTCTCCCTGCTCCCTCTCTCCTCCTCTCTCCTCTCCTCCTCTCCTCCTCTCCTCCTCTGCTCCTCTCCTCCTCTCCTCCTCTGACCCTCTCCTCCTCTCGTCTTCTCCTCCTCAGGTCTGAGTAAACTCCTGGAGGCGGAGCAGTCTGTCTCTGAGCTCTCGGAGCAGCTGGTGCTGAAGGAGCAGGAGTTGGCCGGCGCCTCCCAGAGGTCGGAGGCGGTACTGCAGGAGGTGACGGAGAAGGCCCGAGCCGCTGAGAAGGTCCAGAGAAACACGAGGAGCTGAAGTGAATCTGAAGCTCTCCAGTGTTACTGCTAACATCTGCCACGTTTACACGAGAGCTTCTGAATAAAAATACTTTAATTCTGAATAAAAAATAATTCTGTTTTAAAAAGTCCATGTAAACACTTAATTCCTAATGAAAATTATTTTTTTTTTAAACTTAATTTCCCTATTTCTGTGTGCGGCAGGTGAAGCTGCAGGTGCAGAAGGTGAAGGACAAAGCTCAGACGATCGTGGACGAGATCGAGGCCGATAAATCTGTCGCCGAGTCCAAACTGGAGGCGGCAAAACCTGCGCTGGAGGCAGCAGAGGCGGCGCTGCAGGTACCAGCCCGACCCCCCCCCACCACAGGGTCATAGGTTCAACTCCCCGACCCCCCCTCACCACAGGGTCATAGTTCAACTCCCCGACCCCCCCTCACCGCAGGGTCATAGGTTCAACTCCCCCGACCCCCCCCCACCACAGGGTCATAGTTCAACTCCCGACCCCCCCCCACCACAGGGTCCCAGGTTCAACTCCCCGACCCCCCCCTTACCACAGGGTCATAGGTTCAACTCCCCGACCCCCCCTCACCGCAGGGTCATAGGTTCAACTCCCGACCCCCCCTCACCGACCACAGGGTCATAGGTTCAACTCCCCGACCCCCCTTCACCGCAGGGTCATAGGTTCAACTCCCCGACCCCCCCCCACCACAGGGTCATAGGTTCAACTCCCCCGACCCCCCCTCACCGCAGGGTCATAGGTTCAACTCCCCGACCCCCCCCCACCCATCCCAGGTTCAACTCCCCGACCCCCCCCCCCCAGGGTCATAGGTTCAACTCCCCGACCCTCCCCTCACCGCAGGGTCATAGGTTCAACTCCCCGACCCCCCCCACCACAGGGTCCCAGGTTCAACTCCCCGACCCCCCCTCACCACAGGGTCATAGGTTCAACTCCCCGACCCCCCTCACCGCAGGGTCATAGGTTACTCCCGACCCCCCCTCACCGCAGGTCATAGGTTCAACTCCCCGTTCAACCCCCCCCCTCACCGCAGGGTCATAGGTTCAAACTCCCCGACCCCCCTCACCGCAGGGTCATAGGTTCAACTCCCCGACCCCCCCCCACCACAGGGTCCCAGGTTCAACTCCCCGACCCCCCCCCTCACCACAGGGTCATAGGTTTCAACTCCCCGACCCCCCCCTCACCGCAGGGTCATAGGTTCAACTCCCCGACCCCCCTCACCGCAGGGTCATAGGTTCAACTCCCCGACCCCCCCTCACCGCAGGGTCATAGGTTCAACCCCCGACCCCCCCTCACCGCAGGGTCATAGGTTCAACTCCCCGACCCCCCCCCACCACAGGGTCCCAGGTTCAACTCCCCGACCCCCCCTCACCGCAGGGTCATAGGTTCAACTCCCCGACCCCCCCTCACCGCAGGGTCATAGGTTCAACTCCCCCGACCCCCCTCCAACCGCAGGGTCATAGGTTCAACTCCCCGACCCCCCTCACCACAGGGTCATAGGTTCAACTCCCTGAGCACGTGCAGTCACTCTGTGGGGTTTGGATGTTCTCCCTGTGGTTGTTTGTGGTTTGTTTGTGTTTTCTCTGGTTTCCTGGAGTCTAATTTTTCTGACCAGGACCAGATCTGGTCACCTGCTCCTGTCAGGTGGCAGGTGCAGAGGCGTGACCCTGTCCTTTTCTCCTCAGACGATCAAACCGGGCGACATCGCCACAGTGAGGAAGCTCCAGAAACCTCCACATCTCATCATGAGGATCATGGACGCAGTCCTGCTGCTGTTCCAGAGGAAGGTCAGACCCACAGACCCACAGACCTACAGACCTACAGACCCACAGACCCACAGACCCACAGACCTACAGACCCACAGACCTACAGACCTACAGACCCACAGACCTACAGACCACAGACCTACAGACTCACACAGACCACAGACCTACAGACCCACAGACCTACAGACCTACAGACCCACAGACCCACAGACCCACAGACCTACAGACCTACAGACCTACAGACCCACAGACCTACAGACCTACAGACCTACAGACCCTACAGACCCACAGACCTACAGACCTACAGACCTACAGACCCACAGACCCACAGACCCACAGACCTACAGACCTACAGACCCACAGACCCACAGACCCACAGACCCACAGACCTACAGACCCACAGACCCACAGACCTACAGACCCACAGACCCACAGACCCACAGACCTACAGACCTACAGACCCACAGACCCACAGACCTACAGACCTACAGACCCACAGACCCACAGACCCACAGACCCACAGACCTACAGACCTACAGACCCACAGACCCACAGACCCACAGACCCACAGACCTACAGACCCACAGACACAGACACAGACCTACAGACCACAGACCCACAGACCCACAGACCTACGGACCCACGACCCACGACCCACGGACCCACGGACCCACGGACCCACGGACCCACGACCCACGGACCCACGGACCCACAGACCCACAGACCCACAGACTCACAGACTCACAGACCCACAGACCCACAGACCCACAGACCTACAGACCTACAGACCCACAGACCCACAGACTCACAGACCCACAGACCCACAGACCACAGACCCACAGACCCACAGACTCACAGACTCACAGACCCACAGACCCACAGACTCACCCACAGACCCACGGACCCACACCCACAGACCCACCCACACCCACAGACCACAGACAGACCCACAGACCCAAAGACCCACAGACAGACACAGACCCACAGACCCACAGACCCACAGACCTACAGACCCACAGACCCACAGACCCACAGACCCACAGACCCACAGACTCACAGACTCACAGACCCACAGACCCACAGACCCACAGACTGTAGTAGGACGTGACGTCTCTCTCTTTGTTCTGGTCCAAATGAAGCAGCAGTAAAGGTTCAAATAAAACTCTGTGTCTGTGTCTGTGTCTGTGTCTGTGTCCCTCAGATTGACCCGGTGACCCCTGACCCCGAGCGACCCTGCCCTCGTCCGTCCTGGGCTGAAGCCATGAAGCTGCTGCAGAACTCCGCCTTCCTCAGCTCCCTGCTCAACTTCAGCAAGGTCAAACTTTTGACAAACTTTATGACACAGAGACTTGAAAAAAACCCATGTTACTGTTTTATAATGAAGCTTCACGGTCGCAAACACAGAGCAGAGTTTGTTTTGTTTCATTCACACGTTTAACTCACGAACCTGCACTTTTAACACGAACTCTTCTCTCAAACCGAAAACACTCTGTTCCACCTTGTGATGTCATCATGTGGTGATACGGGAAGTGCTCCACTGTGTTTTTAAACTCCACACAGCGTTGGATCATTTCAGTCCAGGAGTCGCTGATCTCAAATGAACTAAAGGGAAAAGGAGCTGTTCACTTGGAAACTGCCACTGCATGACATCACAAGGTGGAGCAGAGCGTTTAGAGATGTAGACAGACTCAAACAAACACAACTCCAGCTCCGAGTGTGACCAGGAACAGCAGAACAACAGAACAACAGAACAATAGAACAACAGAACAACAGAACAAACAACAGAACAATAGAACAACAGAACAACAGAACAACAGAACAACAGAACAACAGAACAACAGAACAGAAAACAGAACAACAGAACAACAGAAACACAGAACAACAGAACAACAGAACAACAGAAACACAGAACAACAGAACAACAGAACAACAGAAAACAGAACAGAACAACAGAACAACAGAACAACAGAACAACAGAAACACAGAACAACAGAACAATAGAACAACAGAACAACAGAACAATAGAACAACAGAACAATAGAACAATAGAACAACAGAACAATAGAACAATAGAACAATAGAACAATAGAACAATAGAACAACAGAACAATAGAACAATAGAACATTAGAACAACAGAACAACAGAACAATAGAACAACAGAAACACAGAACAACAGAACAACAGAAACACAGAACAACACAACAGAAACAACAGAAACAACAGAACACAGAACAACAGAACAACAGAACAATAGAACAATAGAACAACAGAACAATAGAACAATAGAACAACAGAACAATAGAACAATAGAACAACAGAACAATAGAACAACAGAACAATAGAACAATAGAACAACAGAAACACAGAACAACA